GGACCGCAGGAGAGCGCGCTCGCTGCCCGCGTATCCCGCCGCGCTGCTGGACGGCGGCAGGAAGCGGGTCAAGTTCGCGGACTCGATGGGTCTGACTCTGGCCCGCATCAAGCACTTCAGCGCGCAGGAGGACCCGCAGATCCCGCCCAAGGTTCTGTCCCGGTACCAGAGCTTCCCCCCGCAGCAGGACCCGCGGACCGGGCCGGAGCCGCGGCTGCTGGCCTGCTTCCCCGAGCCGCGGGACGCGGAGCGGCGGGTTCGGGAGCTGCGGGTCTGCCTGGAGAGGCTGGCCGTGACTCGGTTCGAGCTGCGGGCCAGGTGCGGGTCCTGCGGGCTGCGCCGTCAGGGAGGTCGGGTTCGGCTCACATACAACGACTGGCTGTCCTACGTGGACGCGCAGGCGGTGCCGGTCCCGGTGCCGGAGCAGCCCGGGTCGGAGTCGGTCCGGTTCGGCTTCAGCGTGTTCGCTCCGCCCTTCATGGACCCGGGCGCCGCGGTCCACTTCGCCGTGTTCCTGCGCAGCGACGACGGAGAGTTCTGGGACAACAACCAGGGCCAGAACTACTCGCTCCGGTACCGGAACCAGAACCAGCCGGGCCGCCCGGACCCCGAGCCGGCCGTAGAGGCCAGTCCGTCCCTCTGAGCGGACCGGAACCAACCGGACCGGTTCTGATCCAAATGTCAGAATGAAACAAAAGCAGGAAAACCTGAAGAATCCCGGAACCGCTAAAGTCCAACAGGTCCAGACTCTGGTCTTTATCGACCATGCTGAAAATCCAAGATGGACGATAATCGATCATTTCATTGATCGGATTTATTCGGTTTGTTTTATCGGTTTATCAGGTTGAATATCGGCTGATTCCTGAGCAGAAACTAAAACCAGCAGCTTTTAATCTAAACATGGATCCATTATTATCATGATTAGACATTAATATGCCAAATATAAACTATTTGACTAGCAGCTCATTTCAATCCATTTAGAGATTTAATGTGTTTTTATCACTTTGAAAATGTTTTGCTTCCCCTAAATTAATTTCTGGATAAATTCTAAATTTCCTTCACTGTTCTGTAAACACCATGTGATGTAAAGATGAATCTCAGCTGATCAATATTCAACTGAATGATTTTAAAACTTTCATCATATTTAGCTTCATTTAAATGAACTTTTCCAGATAAAATCTAAAGCGCTAATTTAAGAGGTTATAAACTTTTAGTTGACTAAAACTTGATCGATTCAAGAATTTAGATAGTTTATAGTCATGCTCTTATTTTGAAGGGGGAAGACTGTTTATGCAGCAAATGGAAAAGAAAATTTAGCGCTTTAGCATTAGCATCCACTAGCTAGCTAGCATAGCATAGCCTCAGATGGTTATTGTCTAATAATAATAACAATAATAATCTGATGACTCATTTGAATATCTGATCTTTTCTCCTGGTTTTATGTTTTTATGCTTCAGGACGTCAGTCGCTCTGATTCGGACCACTCTGTGACGTCACGGGCAGGGCCCGCTCTGATTGGTCCCTGCAGGATGTTTTTCCTTCTGCTCCAGTTTGGAGCCAAATTTGGTTTAATTTTGCACACAGAGCTGGAGGGGAGGAGGTCCGGTCCGGTTCGGCTCGGTCCGCCTCGGATTATGAAAAACAAACAAAGTTCTGAGTTCAGATCCAGAGTTCGGTGCCGGTTTGACCCAGATGACCCAACAGCAGAACATCGCCTCCTGCTGGTTTTCTTTATAATTATTTCCTCACATAAAGAGGAAAAAGTTCTGATTGGACCCAGTTCCAGTCCGAAGTGGGTCCAATGAGGTAATCAATGATGAAACGTCCAGTCGGGTCCGGATGGTCCAGAACCACGGCTCGGGTTTTATCGGGTCGCTGCTGGGATCCATAGAATCTTTATAAAATGATTCTGATCAGAAATAATGTGACTGAAATTATTTTAAAGCTTTTTATAAAATTATAAACAAAATGATATGAAAATAAACGGAATTAAAGATTTTTTATTGTTTTCTTTATATTTAATAAAGTTTTGGAGACTTTGAATCATCAGTTTTAGTCAAATATATTTACACAGATTCTACTGGAAACAGTTTTTAATTCAGTTTAGTTTTTAAACATTTATTGCAGTCTGAAATCATGAACATGACTTCTGATCAGTGTTTAAACTCCAGTAAACTCTGATAGCTTGTTGATAATCCCTCAGCACCACAGATCCTCCGCCATGCCTGAAGCGTCACTCAGCTGCATATGTTTCATGTTTCTCAGATTCTGCTGCTGAAATATCATCTGATCAGAACTGAGCTGAGTTACAGACCCAGCTGGAATTACGTTTGTGATAGTAGGACAGGAAATGGAGACGGTTCTGGATGGGAGACCTGAGAACCTTCAGCCAGGAGTTTTTTCTCCTCCTGAAATATTCATGTTCATATTCATATTCATGTTTGAGGGAAGCAGAAGCTGAAATTTCCTGCAGGTCACCGAGACGCCGGAGGAGGAACCTGATGAAGCTCGTCGGGTTTCTGCAGCACAGAGGATGAGGACAGAGCCGGGTCGTGTTTACAGCCCGGCTGTCCGTCCAGCTGTCTTCACGCTCAGACCAAAGTCCAGAGGCGCCTCATGTTGGTCAACCTGACCTCCAACGTTGGTCAACAAACGCCGCCCGCGTCTCTCTGCCTGAATCGATGTTCTAGAAATAAAGCAGCTGCTGTTTTGGTTCCTTTAGACTGAAATAAAACGTTGATTCATTCCAGATCTTATCGGATCCTGAAGAAGAATTAAAGTCTGAAGAAACTTTCATAATGGATTTTATTTCATTATAGATGATAAAAGATTCATTCTGTCCTCGTTTAGAAACTTTCTCTTTAGTCAAAAAACCTGGAGCCATTTCTGCTGCTAGCGCTACGCTAGCATGTTAGCTTAGGTTGTACTTACCCAGAATGCCCTGCGCTGTAGTCCACTTCCTGCTTCTCCCACCACCATCACCACTTCAGGCTCATCGTCGCTCCAGTTGGTGCCGAAGATCCAGATCCACTGACATCATCATCATTGGAACCAATCATCATGCAGTTCTGGTGTCTGGATGGTTTCTGTTATTAAAGCTTTGATTCAAACATAAATGGAAACATTTTATGAACATCCAACATGAATCTGAAGAAAAGCAGATTCACTGTCATGATGTTTCAGCACAGAGTGATGCATCATGGGAAGCATATTGATCAAAAGTTGGATCAATAAGGAGTGAAAACCGTCAACAGACCTGCAGGCCCATCAGAAGTGGGTCAGAACCGGGTCTAAAGTCTGTGCTGTTCTGAGCATGTGCAGAAGGTCCAGCAGCTGTTGAGCAACAAGATCTGAGTTTGAACCAACAAACTGATCTAAGAATAGCAGCAGGAGGCCCCCAGGGTCACTCACCTGCTGCACCTGCTCCACCTGCTCCACCCAACACCTGGGCGCCTGCCAACTGCAGGAGAAGAAACCAGCAGCACCGCCTGGTGGTCACTACTGGAAGCGTCACATTCATCTGGATTCCTCGCTTAAAACTTTCTCAATGAAGTTTAAGACAAAACAAGAGAAGTGAGCAGAGGAAACAGACTTCAAAATAAGAGCACAAACAGAAACAGCTGACTGACTATATGAGTTGATAAAACTTCAACATGTTAATTCAACTCAAGTTTATGAAACAGCCTCGTAAATTAGAGAATTTATCCAGAAAAATTAACTCAGGTGAAGCTCAATGTTTTCAAAGTTAGCTGAGCACAAAATAAACATTAGCTTCACTACTAGCACATTAACAACCGTGTGCATGCTAAGAGGAGATCTGGTCCCCAGGTGTCCCTGAATGCATCACAGAGGAGTTCTGGTCCTCAGGTGTAACTAAATGCATCACAGAGGAGTTCTGGTCCTCAGGTGTCCCTGAATGCATCACAGAGGAGTTCTGGTCCTCAGGTGTCCCTGAATGCATCACAGAGGAGTTCTGGTCCTCAGGTGTCCCTGAATGCATCACAGAGGAGTTCTGGTCCCCAGGTGTCCCTGAATGCATCACAGAAGAGTTCTGGTTTCCAGGTGTCCCTGAATGCATCACAGAAGAGTTCTGGTTTCCAGGTGTCCCTGAATGCATCACAGAGGAGATCTGGTCCCCAGGTGTCCCTGAATGCATCACTGAGGAGTTCTGGTCCCCAGGTGTCCCTGAATGCATCACAGAGGAGTTCTGGTCCCCAGGTGTCCCTGAATGCATCACAGAGGAGTTCTGGTTTCCAGGTGTCCCTGAATGCATCACAGAGGAGTTCTGGTCTCCAGGTGTCCCTGAATGCATCAAAGAAGAGTTCTGGTTTCCAGGTGTCCCTGAATGCATCACAGAGGAGATCTGGTCCCCAGATGTCCCTGAATGCATCACTGAGGAGTTCTGGTTCCCAGGTGTCCCTGAATTCATCACAGAGGAGATCTGGTTTCCAGGTGTCCCTGAATGCATCACAGAGGAGTTCTGGTCCCCAGGTGTCCCTGAATGCATCACAGAGGAGTTCTGGTTCCCAGGTGTCCCTGAATGCATCACATAGGAGTTCTGGTTTCCAGGTGTCCCTGAATGCATCACAGAGGAGTTCTGGTTCCCAGGTGTCCCTGAATGCATCACATAGGAGTTCTGGTTTCCAGGTGTCCCTGAATGCATCACAGAGGAGATCTGGTCCCCAGGTGTCCCTGAATGCATCACAGAGGAGTTCTGGTCCCCAGGTGTCCCTGAATGCATCACAGAGGGAAACAATTGGAGCTGCCTGTTTTTTCTCGGTACCAGTTTAGATCCAGTCTGTGCTGGTTGGACTGATGAAGATGAATTCTTCCGTCCATCCTTCGGGAAACCGGACCGACCCGGTTCCCTTCATGGCTTCAGGCTTTTGGACTCAGAACTGCCAACATTAAAAAAGATTAAAACTGAGAAAATAAAAATAAATGACATAAAAACGAGTCAGAAAAGAAACGAAACCGAATAAAGAAACAGAAACTAGAAATGTTATTGGAGAAACTTTTAATTTGACGTCTGAAGCAGGAAGAAGCTGAGATCATCTGATCATCGATCAGAAATGGACATATCGATCTGCATGAACCGTTGCCATGGCGACTCCTCTGGGGGCGGGGCTTAGGACAGAGGGGGAGGAGCCTGCAGATCTGATTCATTTACACTAAAAATTAAGCATTTTAATTGAACTTAGAGATGAAACTTGAAGTCCTCACTGTAAAACAAACAGCTTGTCGTCACAGAGGAGAACGGCTGACAGTTGACCGCCGTCCGTCTTCCTCGTCTCCTGCAGGACGGTTTCACATGTTCCCATCCAGCAGCTCTGACGTTTCATGTTTCAGGAAAAACAAACTAAAGTTTGAGTTTTTCCTGCAGAGGAAACATGAGAAACATCAGGCAGAAAAACGTCCAGCTTCACTCCGGCCTACATCTCCCACAATGCATTTCACAGGCCGGGTCGAAGCGTCACGGCGCGTCCACCACCGTCCGCTGAGCCTCGTACATTTTCCCGATGGACACCTGGACAGAGACACGAGGGACAAGTCAGCCACAGGCTGGAAAACTGCAGGAAAATCACAATTTGGATGGAAAAACAAGGAATTTAGCTAAATAAATAAGACTCAAGGAAATGATTTTAAATGAAATCATTTAAAGGGACCAAGGATGATTTTTTCCAATAGTTTGACATAAAAGTGATGGAGTTTCACATAAAAAGTACATAAACTGTACAGCTTGACCTCTACCTGTTGATAAAATATCGCATGTTAACGTTTGGCTGGTTCATATCGGAAATATATTCAATTTATTAGAGTGACATTGTAATATAACTAATTTAATTTTCATAAATATAAAAACGTTTTAAATATGATTTAAATACAAATGTTTCTAAAAATCTGAATGAAAAATAAACTGAAAATACTTTAAATTGTTGCTGATTTATAAGATTGAAAATCATATTTAATTAATGTCAAAGAAATATTTTCTAATTTACTGAATGTCAAAAATTAGAAACAGAAATGAACATTAAAGTGTTTCAATGTTTCCTCTGATCAGCAGCGAGGCGCCCGGTTCCTCCAGCAGGTGGCGCTGCAGCGCAGCAGAGAGCTGAGTGACGTCAACAGGCTGAACTCTGATGTCAAACAGGAGGAACGATGAGGAGGACAGCTGTGTGTGTGTGTGTGTGTGTGTGTGTATATGTGTGTGTGTGTGTGTGTGTGGTGTGTGTGTGTGTGTGTGTGTGTGTGTGTGTGTGAGCTCTCAGACGGCTCCGGCGGGTCGGAGCTCCAGAGAAAAGATTTTTACTTGCAAACAGAAAATGATGAAATGATCAGCTGTGACCTCTGCGTTGACCCAGTGACCTCTGACCTCATTCAGACAGAGTCTCTGAGGTCTGGAGACGAACGTTGATCTGTCACTGTGACAATAACTGGATGGTGATTCTGTCCCTCTGGTGTCAAATACTGCAGAATCAGACTGAGAAACATCTTGGACTCGAGCAGAAGGCGGAGGTTCACTGAGGTCAAAGGTCATCACCAGATTACATCAGCAGAGGGTCTGAATGAGGCCTTTAGGTTTCTGTGCTGAGTTCATCAATCTGAGCTGGATGGAGACGGAACCACAACAACCTGCCAGAGTGACGGCAGGATCTTTAAGAGTATAGAAGTTGTTACCGAAGGAAGAAAACTCAGTTTGGATCCGGCTTTTGGACCGGAACCAGAGCCTGTCCGGGTTTCTGACCGGAACCAGAAAATCTCCGGGTTTCGGACCGGAACCAGAGCCTGCCTGGGTTTCCTGCTCCTTGGTGTGTGTGGTTGTTCCGCTGCAGTGCCAGCAGGGGGCAGCGTCTCTCCATGCTGCTGCTCCTCTCTCGGCTCCGGCTCATTAATTATTCTGCAGTCAGCCCATTCACCCCCCACATGAATCCCCTCTTTCACTTTCTGTCTCTCTGCGTGGAGCCCCCCCCGCCGTGGAGCCCCCCCCCGCCGTGTGTGTGACCTCCTGATTGGCTGCGGCGCGGTGTAGTGGGGAGGGGCGGGGGGCGGCCAATGGGCGGCCGGGAGGCTCGGCTCTCATGTAAATTGTTGCGGCTGTGTCTCGTAACAAAGGGAAGGCCTCGCTCCGCTCCTCTCCTCCCCACATTTGTTCCTCTCTCTGCATCACTTCATCTTTTACTGGAGCTGCTGTCAGTTTCACCTCATGAATAATCAACGCCGAGTTGTGAAGATGGAACCGCCGCGCCGCGTTTGGAGGATTCAGGGAGGCTCACACTGCAGCCACCGCTTGACATTCAATTAAAGCTGCTGTGTGCAGATTTACAATGTTTCCTCAGAGCAGAAACCAGAACCGGACAGGGGCGGTTCTGCTCACCGGGCCGGGCCAGGCACCGGGCCGGGCCAGGCACCGGGCCAGGCCAGGCACCGGGCCCGCCTCCTGGCAGACGGTTCTGGAAAGCCGGCGTGTTCTGCTGCTGTCGCCGTCTCAAGCTAAGCCTCACAGATCCTGCAGGATTCTCCAACAAATCCAGTTTGTGCCTGCAGGAAGCAGAGCTGCAGCCGGTTCAGAACCCAACGGGTCCCTCAGAGGAGCCCGACCCGTAACCCCACGCTACAAATCAACAGAACCAGAAGTTATGAACTCAAAGAAAATGTTTCTACCACTGCAGCTATAGATCGGCCAAAGCAGATATCAATCAGATCGAAAAACACAAATCAGGACGTTTAAAATCTCAGGAAGTTGAAGTCACTACTACAGAGCGACTTAAATTCAATGAATCTGAGAACTAAACTGCTTAATCCCAGGAGATTAGAAGGATTTTATGCAGGAAAGTTTAAAAGAACAGAGATTAGAGGCTTAACCTCAAATTATTATCAGCTAATAAAGAGAAAAGGAGTAAAAAACCTGAAGAACTCGATTAAAGCCACGATAAAACCCAGTCAGAGTCGATCCAAAGGGAAACAAAGACATGAGTCTGACCTCTGACCTCTGAAAAGGAAACATCGAACATCTAATCCATGTCTTACTGGTTTTCATTGGTGGAAACCACTAATGAAAAAGCCTTCTGTGCTAACGCTAGAGCCATAACCACACATATTAGCCCCATCAACGCTAAATGCTACATCAACATGCTACTTAGCTAGAGCTAATGCTAAAGTACTGCATCTACATGCTGCATAGTAGAAGCTAATGCTAAAGCGCTACATCAACATGCTACATAGTAGAAGCTAATGCTAAAGCTCTACATCAACACACTACATACTAGAAGCTAAAGCTAAAGCGCTACATCAACATGATACATAGTAGAAGCTAATGCCAAAGCTCTACATCAACATGCTACATAGTAGAAGCTATTGCTAACGCTACATCAACATGTTACTTAGCTAAAGCTACCACCACAGCCTGCACCATGTGTCAGTGGCCTAGTATGTCTCCCTCTACAGGATTAAGGTTGTCACTACTCGCCCTCCTGAGCGCTTTGCGCTACAGGAAGTGATTCTTTGGACCAGATTTTTCACTCATGGTTTCAGTTCAAATTCAATCGATAATCAAACCTTCAACACAGACGTTGAGCTTCATTCAACTGAACTTTCATAAAATCTCAAACTATTGCTTTACCGTTTATCTCGAAAAGTTCATTTAGGGGAAGCTAAGTGCGCTAACTTAACTGAAATTAGCTGTACTATTAGCCACTGCTGCTAGTTTGAGGGGTTAGATGTGGTTTCAGGTGAAATTTAGACTAAATTTACCTGTAACCTTTAAATGCAGGTGAAATATAAGAACATTTCTAAAAAAAATCCTCTGAGAGCCCGACTTCCTCAGAGACAGAACCAGACGATGCGTTTTGACTCGAGCTCCTCTGAACGTCACGGCATCCATCCGCTCAGCTGCAGAAACCAGAACCAGTCGTGACCTTCAGTCCTCCCACCAGGCAGGAGGTGTGAGATTAACATCGCACCGCCGCTCTCAGGTGGGCTCAGGAGACACGGATCCTCAACGCAACACCCGGCCGTCTGACAGCCGCTCGCCGCAGAGCAGGCTCTGTGGATTTACCCTGGAAAAAGGCTCAGACGCCACAACCGCACCGGGCGGAGCCGCGATCTGGACGGTAATCAGCTGAGCTCCCAGCATGCATTTCATCTGAGAGGAGATCAGAGGGGTGGAAACACCGATGCAATTAGCTCAAACGTTTATTCATTCAGCGATTTAGTGGGTTTAAACTGAAAATGTTTCAAATTAAAGGTTGGATGTTTCTGCAGTAAAACCATCGATTTTAATTTTACCTCGTCTCTACTGTCACAATAAATGTTACTGATGATAAACTGTCACGATTAACAATAATGTTGTTTTAACAACATTTTTATAAAAAGCAAGAACTCCAAGATCAATTTCAATGCTAATAAACATTTAAAACTGGAAGACATTTTAAATATCCAAACAATAAAATGTATCATGAAGTTTCTAAACTGTCCATCAAAAGTTATGAAGATAAATCATGTAAGGGGAATTATTGGGCAGGTTTTAATCATCATGTGATTAACTGATGGTTAAACATGGCGGACGCATGGTGACCCGGGTTTGGTCCAACAGGATGTGATGTCAGCAGAGCTCCACCAGCACAGGAAACGGAAGACAGCGACCGCAGGACGAGAAGCTTCATCGCCAGAGGAAGAGGAGGAGCCTCTCCGACTGAAGGAATGAAAACCTTCATCAGTCTGTGGGCCTGCGGTGAACCCGGACCTGTCGGCCATCTTGGCCACGCGGTGGACACCCGGACCTGTCGGCCATCTTGGCCACGCGGTGGACACCCGGACATGTCGGCCATCTTGGCCACGCGGTGGACACCCGGACATGTCGGCCATCTTGGCCACGCGGTGGACACCCGGACGTGTCGGCCATCTTGGCCACGCGGTGGACACCCGGACCTGTCGGCCATCTTGGCCACGCGGTGGACACCCGGACGTGTCGGCCATCTTGGCCACGCGGTGGACACCCGGACCTGTCGGCCATCTTGGCCACGCGGTGGACACCCGGACATGTCGGCCATCTTGGCCACGCGGTGGACACCCGGACATGTCGGCCATCTTGGCCACGCGGTGGACACCCGGACACGTCGGCCATCTTGGCCACGCGGTGGACACCCGGACACGTCGGCCATCTTGGCCACGCGGTGGACACCTGGACATGTCGGCCATCTTGGGCCTGCGGTGGACACCCGGACGTGTCAGCCATCTTGGGCCTGCAGCCGCCCGTTTCTTGCTAATAATGAAACTTCCTGTGTTTTCCAAAGTGCCAGAGTTTCTGCTCTCCTCATAAATGATTCATGAACGTTAAAAGCGCTTCGGGTCCCGTTTGAAAAGCGGCGCCTTCCTCTGTATCTGTTTCTCCGTTTGACATTTACAGTCTCCTCTTCCTTTTTCCAATTCTTTTCTTTTTTTATTGCTTTTCATAAAGTTGTGGAGGAGAGAACATTTAGCCGGTGGAGGCAGAGCAGCTCCACATTAAACAGCCAGCCACCGCATCAC